TGGCAGCTCGTGGTGCGATAATTCTGTCGCCAATATCCACCGATCGTGTTTAGAGAAAATTTCAGGTTAATAAAACCATTGCTTTCCAAACAAGAACTTATTCTTTTTTTCTCATTTGAATCTAATTTGACATATGTGTGCACCTGCTTCAAATCTTTAGAAATATTAAAACTTCATCTCATTATCATCCCGAATCTAATAAAGTATCCGCATACATCCTTGCCATAAAAGACAAAAGAAGAAAGCGCGCATTACTCAAACACTTAACAACGCCAACATTTCATTTGCCGGTTTCGCCGCAGCTTTCATCATTTGGTCGTTTGGACAAAAATCTTTTGCACAAAACAAATGAACAACGACACTGCACTGAATGTACCAAATATCCTCCAGCAATTACTGAGGCGCACGTCTTTCGACAAAAACAGACAACAAAGAACGAATAGTTAAGAGCAACGAGCCAACGAACAGCAAAATGCAAAATACCACACGCTATAAAAAGTGCATCGAGCTTTACGAGAGGCATCGAATGTGGCACAAGTGCTACCGAAGCAGACGACGCAGACGAACACATCGTTAAAAATCGTTTATCACTTTCTGAGAATTCATGTGCGTCCATCGTTCAGCGCAGCAACGAATATTGACACCAACACAAATACTATCTCCGCCACCTCGCATAGGCTTCAAGCGCACCCACTCTAGCGTGCCCGAGGTGGTGCGATGCAGGTGCGATGTGGTGAATCCTGTGGCAAGCGTTGCGTGGCAAAACGTTGCAGCACTAAATCAAAGCAACGAGCACAAGTGCATTTTTTCGAACGCTTGCGTTAAATGTTAAAAAAAGAGCGTTATTGCTTCGAGGCGTGAATGTTTGCGAATGCAACAAATCTTAGCAGACGAAGGATCCAGCACGGAAAGCGCACAAAAAAAAACGATTGGTGCACGTAAACAAATGCGATTTCAAGTGGATCCGGCAGGTATGTATGTACATACATACACAGTTGCTGATAACTGCGGACAACGTCACGTTCTGCCTCAGAGGACCTAAGACAAAGGCAGCTGCCATGGGAAACAGACAAATGAAGGAAGTTGGAGGTTGGAGAACAAAATAGGAAAGGTATTAAGTTTCAGGTTCGTCTTGTATGCATTTCTCAGGACAATTGCCCAATTTAACAAATGTTGTGAGCTTTAAAGAAAATTGGTATTTTTGGTTTCAGATTTTCCAAAAAATACATACAGAGTTTTCGATAGTTTCGCGCAAAAAAAATTGTTATAATAATTCGTATACGAATTAAAAGCATATGTATGTATGTACATATCCATGTAAATATACATATACATACATGTGTAGCGAAATTTTATATAACTTAAAATATACAAACATCGTACCTTCGTATTTCTAACACCCACTAAATATCCTAACAAAGCTGATGTAGTGGTTGTCGCTAGAGTGACAAATTGCTTTGAACACATTTCCTCCTGAAAGGAACACACAAAAAAGTACTAGGGTGTGAAAATTTAAACTGCCACAATTTATGATGTCGGATAGCCAGCGAGCTCAGCGAAATTTATTGAAAAGTATGGAAACAGACTATGCATGCATATAATCGTATGTACGCAGGAGCGTATAAAGCGTGCGATTAGGTCAGGGAGAAAAAATCGATGATTTATAGCTGCAAACAAGAAAGTTTGGCAAAATATTAGGTCATATAAAAATACGTACATAGACGAGTAGAAAGCGTAAGCGGCTTCCAAGAGAATGCGGATTTTTGAAAACACATATGTTTAACTCTCTATCTTTCGACCAATATTGCCATATTCATAGTTTTAAGCAGGGACCGCAACGATTAAGATCTTTATAATTAAAATCATAATTTAACTGTTAAAATTGATTATGTATTTCTTCGTTAAAATGTAACGGTTTTTTTTTTTTTATTTCTGTTTTTTCGATCAAAAACAACTGTTATTTTTTGGAATTTCATTTTTTCGCTCATGTTTTAACCGCTATTGACAGATTGAATTTTTTAGATTATTAAAGATTTAATCGGTCATAAAGGTTAAAAATTATCGAAAAAATTTAAATCCAAAATATCGATCACACAGCCCCACAAAAAAGTGTAATGTTTTTTGACAGGAGTACCCTACTCCTATGTGTTTTGGTGCCCTAAACACAAATCTAAAGTCTGTTTTGCTCCATCATGTCAAGATTTTTTCCTAACCTCAAAAAACGTGCCTGTCACGTAATATCCGCCATGTTTTTTGAGGTTAGGAAACCATCCTGACGTGGTTGAGCAAAACATACTTCATATTCGTGTTCAGGGCACCAAACCACAAAGAGGTAGGGTATTCCTCTCGGTTGACGTGGTCCAAAGTTATGCGGTAACATACATAAAAACAAAACAAAAACAAAAAAAAAAAAAAATATTCCGACGAACTGATAACCTCCTCCTTGTTTCGAAGTCGGTTAATAAAAGTCATATAATACCGACTTTGTAATGATCTAAAAATAAAAATCTCGATTTTAACTGTTATTTTTCTGTTTGCCTGGTTTTAACTGTAAATTGCAGTATTTTAGACAAGCTTACAGTTTGTCAAATTACCTACTAGCACAAATTGCAATTACATATTTCAAAATTTCAGATTTGAACGAATAAATTAAAGTATCTCTTTCGGTTCTTAAGATAAAAATAGACGATAGATATACAGCCTTTCCTCTCTTTGTTGCAGTAGCCGAAGCAAATAATAAACAAATATTTTACCAAATTAATTTAAATAAAGTCAAAACTAAAAATAAATTGGAAATTCCAGCACTCTGTGGTATCTTAAAAATTATAGATTTATTAACAAAATGCTAAATTTCGTTCATTTAATTTAAAAAATATTTGGTTTCAATGTTCTACTTTACAAATACCGGTTTTGTAAAGTAAGGTATTAGTTTTCAAACAGTTAAAGTTACTCCATTTTAAATGAATTTGTTTGTGTAAATATAAAAAAACCTTAATTGTCCAAAATCCCATTGTTTTTGAATGTTGCAGTTGTTTTGTGTAAAAAACCATGAAAATGGTATATTTTTGCTCCTATACCTCCGTAGTGAACTAATATTCGCTGAAGACTGATGAATTTTAAACCGATTGGACAGTGACCCGTTAAAACCCCCACCAGAAGTGAGAGCTGTGGCTTTGTGAGTGTGAGGAGTGTCCTCCACGATTGGCCAGAAGGACCTTGCGATCGCGCATTTCGTGGTTTTCGCCCAGCGCTCGCTGAGCTGACAAGAGGCCCATCTATCCAAAAGTGCACCTCAAGCAATCATTGGCACCCCCATCCGCTCCTTATCCGGCGATAGCGTTTCACGAGTGCCTTCCTGGCCAATTCGTCAGCCACACAGTTCCCGTTAATGTTGCTGTGACCCGGAACCCAAATAAGCCTGATACAGAAGTGATACAATGCGACCGAAAGAGAGAGCAGATATTCTTTAATCAAGTTAGAGCGCACCTTCAATGTACTCAAGGCCCTGATAGCCGCTTGGCTATCCGAATATATGCTCACCTGCCTGACTATTAATGCACTCCGGAGCAGTGAATCCACCGCTTCCTTGATAGCAGCCACTTCCGCCTGAAATACACTGCAGAAGTTCGGGAGCCTGAACTTAGTGCTGATGGTAAGCTCTCGACAGAAGTTCCCACCACCAATCCTGCCGTCCAGTTTCGATCCATCCGTGAATAAGTTCCCCGCACCCCCTGCAGAAGTTCCGCCCGGCCTACTCCTCCCTTGAGGAAAGTGCGCAGAGAAGAAGCTCCTAGGAGCCATTTCGGTGGCGCAGTAATCTGTGCGATCAGGTATGAAATCGAACCTCCTAGAACTCCAGAGTGCCCAGTCCTTAAGTCGGTCAACCAATGGGTTTCCCTGCGCGATTGTCTAACTTGGCACGAAAAAGATCTGCTCGATTGTTGCCTAAGTTTTTGTGCATTGATAGTAAGCGCAGCGTTCTTTTTTGTCAAACGCGCCACAGATGCCGCTTTTCATATTTTTTTTTAAAGAAATTTTCGCGCCGCATTCATGTCAACAACAACTCAATGAATTTAAATAAATAGTCGCCATATTGGATCCGTCATTTTTTACATTTGGAACACGCCTCTCGGCATTAAAAGTGTTTATTTTTATTAAAATTTGAAGACTTGCCGATTTTTTATACCTAAACCCGGAAGGGGCTTCCGTATTTATTACCCTGACCACCTTTAGTTCATACACCCTTGATGCAGAAATATTGCAAAATGTATGAAATAAAGGTGGGCAGGGTTAGTATATATATACATACATAAGTCTCTCATATTCGCAAATTGTCTAAAATGGCTTTGGCAGCTTAAATTTCTTCTTTAAACACGAAGAAGTTAGTAAAGGTTTCAAAATTTGATGGCTTCGCTCATGGTTTTGGTCAAAAGGAAGCTTAAAACTAGGGTTATATAAATGTGCTCTAAGCACAAACAAACAAGAACAACAAAGTTTATATACTTTTTTAAAATATTTGTTTTTGTTTATTTATGGCCTTATAACAATTATATTCAACAATTTTATTGAGCTTGAGGCCGTTTTTAATGAAAATTTTTGCGGATCGAGTTGAAAAAGTCTGATGAGGACATGTGGTGATCTCCGAAATAGCAGCCATAACTACTACCAAAATGTAGATTATTGTTTTTTCCACAAAAAGGTTCATTAAAAACGGCCTCAAGCTCAATAAAATTGTTGAAGATAATTGTTATAAGGCCATAAAAAATAAATAAACAAATAACTTTACGACGAGCACACCTAAAAGTTAAACATTCTAAAATAGAATAACAAATGATCAAGTGTAAATAGCAGCGGAATAGCTGCGCTTGATTGCAGTTGGCTTAACACCTGAAAAAAGTGGAAAAAAGTCACAGTTGAAGAAGTCTGATGAGAAGATGTGGTGATCTCCGAAATAGTAGCTAAACTTTTAACAGCCTCGAGCTCAATAAAATTGTAGAATATAACTTTTCTTAAATAAATATTTCTTTGTACAAAAATTTTGATATAAAAATTATAGAAACGTTATCTTAAGCCGTTAAACTTCTATTATATACATCAAAAATAAAATCAATCATCTAAACTTAATTTATAATTCTAGTTGTCTCCGTAGCTGTAAGGCCCTCGGCGCGTAACCGTTGCAACAGTGGTCGGTAGATATCGGGTGTAAAGGGTAGACATACACCGCGTTCTTGTATTTCACCTATAAAATATAGATATTTGCACTTGAGACAAGTTAAAAGATGAATTCACAAACTCACCATCCAATATCATTTTAGCTGCTATTGCTGCCGGCTGGCCAACCGTCTGTGCCATAGCCGAGTGTCCACCCGGTTGGCCGTAGACGACAAAGTTGATGCCACGCTCCTCACGACGACCGTCCTGCCAGCGTATGCCCACTTCGTGGCGTAGTATGACCAAGTCACGTTCATGCGGCTCTGCAATTTGGAATTAAATGAATTTGAACATAAATTAACCAAACAGTTAGTCGAACTCACCAAAAGCCAAACGTTTCGCGAGATAGTGACTTAGCGTGTCCAATGGCGTATTCATCTTTTCAACCGGTGTATCCTCCATCAGTCCTAAACTCTCCAGACCATCAGCGTTTCCGATGCGCTCTATCACTTTTTGTTTCAAATTCTCATAGAAAATGCTAGAATCGGACATACCCAGCATATTTATCACCAGTTGCCGCCAAGTGACCTCCGGTCCGTGCGGATGCAACATTGGATGTGGTTCTGGGTCGATCAAGCCGAGCAATTGCATTGGCTGTACACACTCTGAGAAGCCTTTATAGCGAATGGTGCCACGCAATAATGTATGCACATCTCGCCCCAGCCCGTAGAGTTCAGCGTACTTCGTTGAGTCGCGATTAGGAAAACCTTCTAGTGCGAAACCGGGCAAGAAATTTAGACTTCTAGGATTCGACATCAAATCACCACCACCAGATATCTCCACAATTTGGCCTTTACTCAAATACTTCGCCGCTGACAAAGTATTCAAGAGCACACCACGCGGCGACCAAGAAAATTTATACCGCAATGCGTTGTCCGAGTGCTCGGGCGCTGGCAGGCCACCACAGAAACTAACAAACGATTCAATGACACCGCCCTTCTCCTTCACCTCATCGATGCACTCCAGTGCTAGCAGGTGATCAATGCCTGGGTCAAGACCCACCTCATTCATGATGGTAACACCATTTCGGCGCGCTTCGTCATGCAGTTCCATAATTTCGTCATTCAAGTAACTGGCCGTTACCATATGCGTCTTCTCGGCTACACAGCACTTGGCTACCATGCCGTGTAGACTGTAAGGCAACAGAGAAATGACAACATCTGACATGGCACACAACTCTTGCAAGTGCTCTGTGCCCTCGGTGACGTTGAGATAGACACTGTCCACGCCATTGTATTGCTTAGCAAGGCGATCAGCTTCCTCTTTCAGCGCCGAGCAGACGGTGATGGAGACGTCTCTTTCGCGTGCGAGCCATTCGACAAGAGGCGCTGAGACCATGCCAGCGCCAAGTACGAGCACTTTTTTGTCAGAATCTAAGCGGCCTTCGATTTTGTGGCGAGAGCGGTAACTGTAAATTTAGACAGAACAAGTTCGTTAGTAATTAGTAAGTGCAAAAGTCCATTTAGAAATACCTGTTTGATTCACGCAACTCCTGTATATACTGGAAATTATCAGTCAGCTTACCATTGCTGGCAATGATTGCCTATAAAAATAAAAGGGGGTTTTAGTATTCGCTTATAAACTTACGCCTAAATTCATAAAAAATAAAGAAGACTTTAACTGCTTTATAAATCGACAGTTTATTTTTTTTATTAGTATAATATTCTAACATTTTGTGTTTCCATAATAATGCTTGATCATCGAATGTAATAAATGAATAGTAATTTTCCAGACTAAGAGAAGCTGAAACTTACACACAGTCCTTATCAGCTATTACGTTTCTTTCAGTACTGACGGTACCTACATATGTAAAAAAATATGTAAGTCTCCCGGCTGGACAATATTAACTCAAGTGTCTACCTTATCAGCAAGTAGTTGCTATTTTTAGCCAGCAAATCTCTCACACAGACATACAAGTGCATTACATCCCAGTCGAAAAACTTAAGGGCTCTTCTATACGACCTTGTCTTTAGAAGCTGTATTAGAAGATCGTCGAACCTCCCGCCATGCGCATGTGTATTTCCAAAGCAACACAAGTCAAACAAAGAAAAAAGTCGCAGTTTGAGTGGCGTGCCAGGAGTTAGTTGGCAGTTTGTTCTGCGTCTTTTTAATTTAGTGTAAAGGGCCATTCCATGCACAATACTAGAAAAATCGAGCAGAGAAAGCTCATCGCGGCTCTCGTGCCCAGTGGGATGAGTCCCATATACGTATGCTCCCATGTATGGAAACCAGCAGACCAACCAAAGTCAGGCCGACTTTTTGGCTTTACGCCTTCAGAGATAGTTTGCTTACAGAAAACCCTAAGGATAAAAATCGATATGTCTGTCTTCCAAAAAAAATCTACCATCCACGTTCTACTCAGTCTCACAAGTAAAATCGAAAACTTCATAGAGAACAGGGAGATCGCCGAATATGGGCTTAAGATAACTAAAAATGCTTTCGAAAAGACAAGACAGGAGCCGCTGGATAACAAGCGTACGTAAATCCAGAACCATTAAATCTACGCTCATTGGCTGGAGCGATAAATCCTCTATTATGGTCTATCGTAGGAGATGAGTCACTCAGCCTTCGGTGTTTAAAGGTACGCAGATTACATTGTCATCCTAAACAGAGGTAGGTTTGGAAACTAGATTTAAAACCTGCTACAAAAGCGGCTGAGCATAGGCACCAAATGGTTCAGAAAAAATGCGTTGAACATAAACCCTAGCAGACGTTAAAAGTCATTTCCTCCAGAAAAAGGGAAAGGAACTGTCTGCTACTTACAACCATTTCTTCAGGAAAAAGAAAATGTTTAATGTAATGTAATTGGCATAACGGATGTACGAAACCTTTACCAAACTCATTGTAAAATTAGGCCCATTCAATATCAAACAATTTTTACGAATTGTTACAAGTACTTGCAAGTTTTTACTGGAAATGCATTCAATAACCCAAAATATTTGCAAGAGAGAGCGAATTCGAGAGCGCAACAACCCGAGAGAGCTGCAAATCTTTGCTAGTAAAAATTTTTACCAGCAGGAATTTGCAGGAGTCAAAAAGTAAGGTTATGTTTCAAATTCAAATGTAAATAAACTGGTTAAGAGGATGATTTGATGAAACATAATTAGTGAAATGAAAATACGGTTGAAAAAGTTAAATATATCGTTATTTTTTATTCTTATGACGATGGGAACTATTCCCAATTAAAAAGAAAATTGCGCGCCAAAACTTAACCACCAGAAAGTGTCAAAATGGCTTCAGTTGCCAGTTTTTACTAGTTTTGCGTTCAATAACTTTTTCTGAAATTTTTATCTTGCTCTCTAATTTTCTTTTACGCTCTCGCTGCAAGTACTTACTGGAAAAGTTGTTGAATGGACCTATTATATGTCGTCGGTGCAGCGGACTATGGTATACAACCTACAAGGACTACCTTCAGAAATCATGGCAACGAAGTGGCAGATATTCTTAACAGCAAAGGGACTATACGTGGATTTATAGGCACAGAACCCTCCATCGATCTGCAGTGGATTTTGGATTTATATTTGGGTGAAGAAGGAAGCAATTATTACTGAACAAGTACGGAAGCTATCAGACGGGCTAAGCTCTTCAAACTGGAAATATCAACAAGTAGAACCGAAGCACTCCTTCACTTTACTTAGCACGAGGTTCCTCAAATATACGTGTATTAAAACAGGCCTGTAACTAAATAGAGATATGTCACAATAGATCGTCGTGGTAACTGCATATTGTGCCCCCTCTACTAATTAATCTAATCTTATCTAACCGCACTCAACGTGTTTTGACGTGCGAGCATTATGTTAAAAAATTCTTCTTGGCCAAAAATGGAGTTAACTCGTTAACATTTTTGCATGATTTATAACACGTTCGAAGTGGGTGAATTCGCAAAAGTGCATCGATCAACTTAGTCCAGCTTGTAGCGATGAAGCTTCATTCTTTGCCATATGAATTTTTTGCGACTTTTTGGATACATTAGAATGCTTATTACATATTAAACAGTAATAGAATATAGAACTCATGCAAAATACATTACCTTATTTATCACGCATGTAATGCATTACTACCCAATATACCCAATGGGATATTAAGCAAAACTTCCGCACCACTGCATGCATTTAGGCTCAGGGAAACCGTATGCCTAACAAGCACACCGCCTGGACACTCGACATTTTTTTTAAATAATCGATTTCCTTTCTTATTATGATTGGGTGGGGCAAGTTGACTGGAGTGAGGAAGCTGTAAATTTGTTCGCAAATACATCGAAGCGTAATGGAAGTTGTAATTTGGAAAGAGTTTCCGTAATCCCTTGTCAAATTTGGTTTTTAGACAAACCGGTTTTAGCGCTGTGTCATCTTCAGTGCCTATTTTTCGTCTTAATGGAAGAGTTGGCGGAGGAGTCCTCAGTTATGAGCTGTGAACATGTGAACATTAAATTTTGGCTTTCAGACTTCTAAAGCGTTTTCCAGGTAGAAGTGGCATTAGTTAAAAAATCAAGGACACATTGCTCAAGTGTTTGGCGACGATAAGCGTCTGAAATGGTATAATTAGTCTTTCATGGACACCTGGCCAAAGTGACATTACGGTAAATGTCATGGCTTACGAGCGTGCGATAAAGTACCTTGAAACAACGGCACCAGGTTTGTGGGAGCGCCACTGACCACTTGTGTGTTTGACTCTTGGACTTAATGTTCGCTCAGTTTACATTTGCGAAAACTAGGGCATGCAAAATTCCAAGGTCCTTATGGCCCAAATTTCACCGGGTGCGGTCAAAAGAGCTATTTATGAAAATCCAAAGTTCTCAAATTTAGTGAAGCTTCTGACAGGTCAATTTTTGTAGCAGGTGAAACAATAAGATCCCTACACTATCCCATCGGAGTTTGCGTGGTAAGCCTAAACATAGCATCTGATCCTTACTGCCTGGTTTGACTGGAGAATAAGGTAGAATCACCTCAACACCCCCTACTAGACTCTTCAGCTTTCGCGTGGCGTTTTATCTATTGAATAGTGGTCCCCGTACGTTCAAATTCTCAGAACCACCAAGGGCTACCTCTATAATGTTCAAGTGAGTCTCCAATTTGGGACGACTACCTAGCCTAACCTATGGCTTTTAGGTAGTTTGGAAGTGGATAAAAGTTCATAGGGAATATATCGAAAAACAATAAAGCCGACGGGTAAAAAGGAGTAAGTAGAAAAGTGTAAAAGCTTTTATAAGAAGGCGATAGCTTATTTTCGTCGTAATTACGGATAACCATGCTCCGGTAAAAAATCTTTAGAAAGAAATAAATGAGCCATGCCAGATGTACTGGTCTGCATAGCAAACCCTGTTTGCTTTTTGGCTTCAATCGGTCGGACTCTATTCAAAACCTTTCATTTCGTATATCTACCGAAGTATATAAGAAGATCGCTTTCAACTTAGGAAATATAACACCCACCGTCATTAATTTATTACCATTACTTTGAAGGTAAATTTCCTTTCACTGTCGCTGGCATACATGGTGGTGTAATAGCACAAGGCAAGACGCATTCGGAGCGAAAGTCGTCGGGCACTGCTCATTATTGTATTGATCGATGCGTAAGGGAGTGATAGCTACCATGTCAAACTATCGAACGTGCAAAAATGCTTTTTCAATTACGATACCTTGCGCATGCGTTTAGAATGGTACACAAATTGGCAAATCGTCAAATTTCTAGTCTGATTAGAACCAGAGGATACTGGCTTTAACAAAGTGTCGAATCCCACACTTTTTCCTAATGACAACAACATTTTTTACAGCCGTGCTCTCTTGATAAATACCAATTTTCCCATTCGATAGTTTGGCATGGTAGCGACAGTATATAAACTCATACTTCTGACTATTAGAAAGTTGAGAGAAAGGTGTGTTTTTTTAGGAATCTTACAACATTTCGACTTTGTATGGCAAGACCCCATGGGATAAGTAACAAAAACTGGTGTACTCGGATAGCAAGAGAGATAGAGAGAGAGAGAGAAAGAGAAAGAAATCCCGGCACCGATGACCCGCTTTGACCGCGGGGGAACATGTTTATCTCCACAGGGAACGCATTAGATTAAGTCAAGCGTAGTAACCACAGCCGTCCACGGAAAAGGAGCAAGACCAAAACCACAGCCGCAGTACAAGGCCATAATTGGAGCGCTTACGCTTGCCTAGTTTCTGATGCAACCTACCCGATTTTGTAGTAATAATTGCTAAAAAAATCGTGAAATGTAGTATACATAGTTGCAAAAGAGACAAAACACAGTTATCCTTTTACACAACATAGAATAAGAGGTAAACCAACTCATTTACACAAGTACTTACCGACTTAATGGGATATAAAAAGTTCTCCTCCTCAAGTGGTTTCTTCGCATCACTTTTAATTATATCATACACAAATGGACTTAATAGTTCTCCAAAGTAGTCGGTCGATTCACGCGGTAGCTGTGTAGGCATATTATCAATTGAGCACACCAAAACACCTGGTCCCTTAAAGCTCTTCATATCCTTGTTCCGATCCGCATCATATAAACAGAATGGCGTATCAATTGTCGTGCATTCGTTCATGAACTCAATAGAACCGCCAGGATCAGCAGAAATATCACAGATAGCCAACATGCGATGCGGCAACGCTGGACTGCCCTTGCTAGTGGGTAACCAAGGCGTATTTGCTGGTCGCAGCAAATTTTTAGCATCCGGTATGCTAATCAATTTCGGACTACCTACCGCCCAGTAAATACCATTAATAATCACCGAAGCATAGGGTGCGATTTTCGAACTGAATGTAGAAATGTAACGCTCTGGAAACTCATCATATTCACGTGCATCAAAACCTCCACCTTCACGTCGCTCCAAGTGATCCGTACGGCTTACTTCGCAGCCATACAACTTATTCTGACCTACGAACACAAAACACACACACAGTACGTTAATTGCTTTGTTGCAAACATGTCATTGCCTGCTACTTACTGCCATGCTCCGCCACCTTGCGCAGCATCTCAGGCGGCACATATTCTATAGGCAATTCCTGAAACACTTCCTGTGCACCTTGTGATACATTGCCCGAGCCAGTGAACACAAAAGTCAATGGCCCAATGGATTTAGGCATCATGCCCAATGATATCTCATAGCCACAATCTCGTATTGCCTGTCGCGCCATTGATGAGTTGCGGTAATTATGCGCCGGCCCGATGTGCATAAAGGGAGTGTGATGTCCCAATGCCAGCAGACGTAACCCAACGCCATGTAGAATATTCACCATTCCCGCTACGCCAGCGTATTTGCCAAATGCAACTTGACGTGCGCCACGCTCGTCCACTATGCGTTCGTAATCAATCAAACGGATATTCTGTGAAAAGGCATCAAAATCAGAGTGACAGGTTGATTATAATGTAATTAACTGCCAATATGTGGCATACGTATTAACAAATGAGTAGAGAGTAGAATATGGACATTAGGGCGGGCTAATTTGTATGCGCGTATAGCACAGGGGGATTCTACGTGCAGTTTTAAGCAAATTTGGCGAAGAAACCGTGGGTCTAAAATCAAATTTGGAGTTTGCCAAATCGCGAAAATAGGTTATTTATCATTTTTCTGTAGTGTCGTTAAGTGGCTAAATTTTTTATAAGAACATACTATAAGCGGTGTTTTGGTATGAGGAATCCTTTTCTGGACTTGCCTTTTTCTTAAAACTTCCATCAGAGGGCGCAACAATGAAAATTTTCACATTTTCTTCGAAACCTATTTCCGCAGTTTGGCAAACTTCAACTTGATTTTAGACCCATGGTTTCTTCTGAAAATTTGCTTAGAATTACACTTAGAATCCTCCTATGATATACGCGCATAGTCAACAAAAAAACTGACCCGCCCTAATGTACATATATATTTGTGTACGAGTATTATGAATTCATAACTTATAAATTTAACGAATTAATAAACTTACTTTTTCAAAAGACCATCTTTGACATTGTTTTTACTCAAAGTGCTGTAATTTCGTAATGATAAATTCGTGCAAAATGTACGGGCATTTTATAATTTTGATTACTATTGAGGCCTACCATGTATAGTTCGTGACTATGTGTAAGTAGGTGAAGGTTTTTTCTATGCAACCTAACTATCCAACCACCACGAAGCACGGGTGCAATTAGGTGAAATAAATTCATTGATTTAATCCTGTGTCTAAGGCTGAAATCACACCGGATCAGTCAATACATTTTATGTTGCACCGATTATGGCGGAAAGATAGGCAACTCTCGCTCATCGTCAGATTTTGCAAATAATCTCTAACCAGGCAACTCCTCATGGCTTGACCATAAATAATGCTGCCGAAGAGGTTTTATGGTTACTCCCAACCTCACAGAAATAACTGATATGACGCAGAATGCCCAGGAAAATACGCAGCATGCCACGCCAACCTGCAGCCAATGGCAGGAATAGAGACATCTCCTCCAAAGGAATAAAAGAAATTATTTCAAAACCGGAGATATTTTTTCCAAATCATCCATTTTCCAATATCATCTGCATATGTCAGCCAAGAATGATAGAATACAAGATTGCGCCGATCAGAGAGGATTTTTGAGAATAACTTTTGTGTGACGTCACACTGGTGCAATTGCGAGAGAGAAATGCCAAAACGTGAGCAAGAATGGAAGAAGAAGAAAAAATGTTGCAAGGAAAACGTAAACAAGTTGCACAAGTGTGACGTCATGCAAACAACGATTCTGTCAAATTCGTTAAGAGAGGAATAGCGGTCCGAGATCGGCGCAACCTTTGTATTCTCTCAATCGTGTATGTCAGCAGCATGGTGCCGCTGCGATTCAGATTGGCAGCTCTTATAACGCTTTCCACCATCAGATTGAACAAATCTCATGAGAGTGCGCGGAGAGGTCCTTTCCAATTTGGCCGGAGCTGAAAGTTGTGCTTAACGTCACTCTACATAGCCGTATTAGTTTTGCGGGGATCCCAAATTTAGACATGGTATCGTACATACAGCTTCTCTTCCTGCTATAAAAAGCAGCTGTAAAATCAACAAAAATATTTGCATATTGAGTGACTTCCAGAATTTGACGTGCTGTGAAAATCTGGTCAGTCGTGGACTTACAAGGTCTGAAGCCACTCTGATAAGGTCCAATCATTTGGTACGTGAAGGGCTTCAGTCATTCACACAGTATAGTCGACAGGATCTTGCATGCAATATTAAGAAGGCTTATTCCGCGATAATTGGCGCAAATGGCGGGATCTCCCTTCTGTGTAGATTGGGCAAAGTACACTGCGATTCCAATCGTCGGGCATGTATTCATCAGAAAAAATTCTGCTTAATAGCTGGTACATTCGCGCGACCATCTCTTCGCCGCTGGCTTTTGAACAGCTCAGCCGGTATACCATCGGCTACGTGGGCATTGTTGTTTGTAAGCCTCACTATTGCTGTTAGTTATCACCTCGTATTGGTCGTGTGGAAGGGCATGAGCTTCGCCTCCATAAATTGGGTCCAGTTCTTCTCCATAAAATTAACCGCTTGTGTTCTAATTAAAACTCGTTGATAACTGTTCCCGCCATATCTCAAGTGTACTCTGAATATTTGTAACCTGATTTCCATCTTCGTCTTTTAAAAAAATCTCTCCGGTTTTGAAATAATTTGGCCTGAAGGAAGCTAACGAGGTTGGTCTAGCGGTGAACGAAAAAGTCTTCGCGTATTGGGACGCACGTCACCGTTGGCAGTCATAACTTTGAAGTAGTTAAGGACTTTGTTTACTTACGATCCAGCATAAACACCATCAATAATGTTAGTCTGGAGATAAAGCGAAGAATAACTCTTGCCAACAGGCAATACTTGGGACTCGGTAAAGTAACAGAGATGAGAAGGTTTTGGAAGCTTTCGAGAGAAGTATTCTACGCAAGATCTCGCGTGGGCGACGAAAAGATAGAATAACGAACTGTATGAGCTTTTTAACGACACAGACATAGTTAAGCGTATAAAATTACAACGATTGCGCTGGCTTGGACATGTTGTACGCATGCAGGACGACGCTCCGGTGAAAAGATCCTTCGACTTCGCACCAATGGGTGGACAACGAAAGCAAGGGCGCCCACGAACACAATGGAAGAACCAAGTGCAGAAGGACCTGCCCGCACTTGTGATGAACAACTGGCGCAAATCCGCAAAGGAGAGATGCACGAAAGTCGTATTATGAATTTTCACAGTGTTAAAAAATAGTTGGTTGTTGTTTCAAGTCCTCTAAACATTTATTTGAGCTTTTAAAGTTTTCGACATACAAAAATACGACACCGTTGTGAATAATCAAATTATTAATTAGTGTTTAGTACTTAGTTCATATTTATAGAGTTTGAATTTAATTAAAGAATACTTACTTTTTCTAAAACGGCATCCAGCAATGGCATATTCGACTCTTGAGCCTTAATCGTGTGCGAGAAGAAGCAATATGTTTTGCCTGGAATTAGCGCATCTATGGGCACCTGTTTTACACCAAATATCACAGACGCCTCACTTATGTCCTCCTGTACAGTTGCGCCAGAATGCATGTAAACCTGTTGGATATGGAAATTGTTTTTTGATCAACAAGAATTTGATATAATATTACGAGCCCTAACCGCCAAAATAACGTAAGCGACATTTTTTTCAAAATTTTCTTTTTGATGCAGAAATATTCCTAGAGCATCTAGATGCATTTCTGCATCAAAAAGAAAATTTTGAAAAAATGTCGCTTACGTTATTTTGGCGGTTAGGGCTCGATTAGTTTGTACTGAAATAAATTGTTAATCTACAAGATTCGATATACATATCAAAAAAATAAATAAATGAAAACATTTTAAAGACAAAGTTGAACATTAAAAAATTGCTACATCATTACATTACATTAAAGTTGTTAAATGTCGCAAATTACTTTTTATACCTAGTTTAAATTCGGCATAACATATACTAAACAAAAATCTTTTTCGATTTTTTATTGCTGATATTTACTACATACATACATATAAACATTGTGCATCAATATACTGCTAATAGTACATATGTACACAACATAGAGGTTAAAAAATTGCGTTGCCCGAAAAATATTCTAGAATAGGCTATTAAATATCTCCAAAATTTTAACAACCTAATCTAATCTTCAAAGAATTCAATTTTATTAGACCTTTCCACAGCTAAACAACAACAACAATGAAGCGAATATCAAGTTGCAAATATGATTTATTAAAGGTTTTTAAAGAGATTATACCATTGAATTTATATGCATGTCAAATTTATTGAAATTCAGCTTGTGATTTCAAAATTTACAAATTAATTAATTGTGGTCTTGCACCTGCCGCGGTTGTCCTTATTAATGTAAAACAATAAACTTACTTACATAAATGCATATACAGTATAAGAACATAGATATGTATACATATGTATCATATAACGCAATACATATATGTAAAGGAGCGATAATCTCGGTTTCTGTGTTGAATACTTCGACACCACGTGTCACTCAATATAAAAATATTTACGTTTTTATTTACAACTTATTTTGTTTTCTGTTTTCCATCGATTCCAGATTATTGCATTGGCCCCCCGTCGAGTTGTATCTTATCGCGTTCAAAATGCCTTGTGACGTAGACATGTTTGCACATAATGTGCTTAGATCTGCCTTGTTGGCATACTTTTGCAATAATAAAAATAATTTGCTTGTTCTCGTGAATTGAGTCAACTTTTTGTTTATTTTCTTATTATTTGTGATTAATGCTAAATTATTTTAAAATAGTTTTCATTCCACTTTATATTTATGGTAATAAAAAAAAAACTACGGTATATGATACTCATAATTATGCACCTAACAGCCAATTTTCTAAGACAATTTGCAGCGAATATTGCTGATAACCCGAATTTGCAAGACCTAAGAGCTAATAAAGAAAGCAAAACAAAATATCGAAAAGCACGCAAAAAAGAACTAAGACCCGAAAAATAGGCAAAAGGAAACACTTTTTGCGTAAAGTTTATTTTACATAAATAAAAACGAAAAAACAAATACAAACTAAGCACGAGTAATTTCATAATAGGAAGGATTTTCTTCGTTCGACTTTTAGATCATAATACCTTAATCTATCTCTTGATGTTCATCTTTCGATTATCGCGAAGGAAAGCCTTAAATTAACTAAGCCAGCGCTCGACGTAAGCTGAGCCAAGCTGTCGATATACAGAAAGAATCAAATCATATACATCCAAGAAAGAACCCGGAAGGTATATCAATGGTCTGATGTGGACAATATTGAAGAGATGACAAAGCTGTTTTAGCCTATGAACGGGAAAACTCTTTTGCCCTGTGAAACCGCGAGGTCGTAGAAAAACCAGGTGGAAGTATAGCTAAGTTACCCTCATAACATCGAAAGGGACTAGTAGATATTTTATATAGTATCATAGCGCTGTTATCCTTGGCGCTTCAGTCCTTTCAACCCATGGTAGGTATGGTAAGGTATAAATTAGTTTGTAAAAGGAGGCGTGGCACATGCCATATACGTGGAATTTTTAATTTGGTCTTAAGACATATAACAGGGTCTCCTAGACCACCCAAGCAAAAATATGACCTACCAAGTCGGGTATGCTCTGTCTTTTCGTGGTATCACCGACTTCCGGGTTTTCATAGAGCTGGGCCTTCAATGGCGAAAAGTCTTCGTGTAGTATTTTAAAACAAAGCAGGAAATACGAATCAATAAATTTAGTTCTAAAGCTGAGTTTTTTGTTTGTTTTGCAAGTTAATACTTTCATTTGACGCCTTTTGTTTTAGAATCTTTATATACATATATATTGAAAAGCTAATATTTTTATATATAAAATAATATCGTATGAACTAATGATTAAATAGTTATTTTAATAAATCTGCATTGAAATAATAACTATGAAATTTATACTTTCATATGATGCCTAGTGTATAGAATGTATAGAATTTAAAATATTTCGATAGATTACTACATACTAATCGTTGACTAACTAACCTGCATGGGATAGGCTCGCCGATTCGATGGCTGCACGATAACCTTGACACCTTTTTTCACCAACTTTTGCACATGCGATGGTCCAAAAGGCGCACGTCTCTCCCAAACCGATTGATCTTCTCGTCGTATAGCGATAACTTTACCGTGCTGCAAAATAAAATTAGAAATCATATGACTACACAACTTTTATTTTCTAGTTTTTATATACATATGTATTAATCAAATAAATAGTAAGCACTTGTTGGTGTAGGTTGATTCTTTGACAGGGTGAGAAGATGATTCGTTTTGTATTCGTACTGAATGAAGATAATACCTTGAATTTTTTTTTAGAAAGACTCTCTAGGTTTAAGATTGTTCATCTAAGATTATACAATGGCTTAGGATCTAATGAGTATATCCCACGAAACGCAAATTTTTGGTAAAATCCTCAGAACTCTCTCTTATCGATCGGAATGTGGTATGAATCCCGGATCCCAAATAACGCCGGAATATTCAAAAAAAAAAAGATCTCACAACGCTTGAAAAGAGGCTTTTAAGAGTCAGACATTTAACTTTCGGAAATTTAACATTAATCCGTTAGATTTACACTGTAATACTATAAGATAATTAATATCATTTTGCAGATTTACGATGTCTTCAGGGCTTCTAATGAGAAGATGTAGCTTATAGTCGTCAGCTTAAAGCAAACACTTGCTATATTTGGAGACCTTTACGACGTCATAAAAATAGTGAAAAATAACGGACCTAGATCGCTATTGCCCGAGAGCGACTATCGCCAACATTGACGAATAGTTTCCTGTTCTTCAAGTAGAACTCAAGCCAAGTTAGGACGATGGTGCGAACTACCAACATCCCTAAGTTGGAGACAAGTAGGCCATGGTCTGAACTGTCGAAAGCGACCTGAGATCCGTTCTCTATTGTATCCTATGCAAAGCGAAATTTGAGAAAAAAGCGATACTGCTCTATATAGATATGCTGCTTAAAGGCGGAAAATAAGTAGCTATTAACGATAATTGTGGAATTATTGAGAGCTTGATCTATAATTTTCCACCAGATTCATTAAGCCTCATTGAAAAGATGAGATGCAATGAAAGCAAGAAAGTTCCTAAGTAAAAGCTTTTATTCAAAACTAGTTGGAATTTGATAGTTCGAAGAAATGGCAAGCCATTTCCATTTCGACTGATACGCATCTTTAAATAATTCATCCAACTTATTGAATAATTTGAAGGTAACTTTTGAAACACGTGGCAACCCTCATAAAACATTCCAAATGTGCAAACCAAAGATTTCTTAACATTCTTTCTTTTGCCTACGGTATTTTTATATTTCATATACTTTTTGTATTAGTTAATTGGGTTAGACCGTCCAAAGAGGTGTCAGCCCTCTTCAAAACTATTATCAGGCTTAATCCTTGTTAACTCTCCTTCGCCGGACATTGCGATACATACTTTAATTAACTGATGGTTTAGAGGAATTCCATTTTACAAACATGTGGCAACCCCGCTAAATACATTTCAGTAAGAAAAAAATTTCCAAACACCTTCGATTGATACCCCTATTTTAATAATTCATTTAACTTATTACATAATTTGAATTTAACCTTTTAAACAGGTGGCAACCCTCTTCCAACACCTCAAAAATATTCTTGGCGTTCAAACTAAGGATTTCTTAACACTTCTTCGCCTACGCCTGAACACACAAGCTGCACACCGATGGTTCCAAAGCTGAAAGTGAACTTGGACCAGGCGTTTTCTCTAAACTCCTGGAATAAAGAAGATCTATGCAGCTGCCTGGATTTGCAGTTGTTTTTCAAGCAGAAGTAGGTACTCGCCATCGCTGAAGAATGTCGCAATTTTACCATGTATCCGGGCAGCCATTATGGCTCTGCCATCTTTTGAACAGTTAGGTTTCAGACAAAGTAGATTTAGTTTTAGGCGCCGGGCATCGCACCATTCCCGGAAATTACGCTGCAGATGAGTTAGCCAGGGACCATCGCCAGTAGCATCAAACTGGCATATAGCCAAACTCATTTGGCGGTATTTCTAGTACAACCCTAAAAGAATGCACAACTTCAAAAAAAAAAAACAGACATAACATTGGAGTCAAAATTTGCACGTGCGATCACCCAGTTCCTAAAAGAATTCAAATTTAACCGGCCAAATTTAGAATTCTGCGTGGGCAGACTGGTTTATGGGCGCTTTCCCCACACACATCTCCTTCGGGAATGAGCGAACGGAAAGCAGTAGTTGCAAGACGACACCAGTGAATTTCTATACGCATGGATGGAAGCTTGACGGAAATGTAGGGAGATGATTCTCTTATGCAGGAACTTTTATTTAGGCGTGAATTAATAATATAAAGGGTATTTAAAGAAATAATGTGCATTATTTGATCGCATCTTTCTCTTTCCTTTCCATATTTCATACAAAAAAATCAGTGGGCATTTTTTTTTACAGTTCATAGCTGTTTTATTTATCTATCGATTCTCTTTGTTAGTAGCTAAGTTTTATCATACAGCGTTCTTAGTTTGAATATGAATTTTTAATTTTTTCATAAAAAATAAATAAAAATAAAGTGTTAATGATTAATAAATTTCTCAGAAACTACTAAGCCCATCAAGGAGTGGTGTGCAATACCTAACGCTCGTATCTATACTTTTTTAGGCAGTATAATACTTTTTTTTTGTTTCCAAAGATGCACACTGCGGTTTTTTCCAAAATACTGCATTTATACAGTTTTTGCTGCCTAAATTTTTTAATACACAATGTTCGTGGAAATACATTATAACAGTGCATATACATATGTATGTATATACTGTTAGGTAAAAAAATAGGGACACGATATCTTGACCAGTTTTAACTATTTTCCTTTCTTTTGTTTAATGTCTATTAATTTTTTATTAAGTGTAGTTCTAACAACAACAAACTTTGTGTTTATAATTTATAATAACTATATTAAGGGTATTCAGACTATACTCGTTAAGGTCTTAATTCGGTATTCGGTAGCTACCACCACCATTGTTTTGTTTTTGTAATTTACTGAATATATCATTACCAACATAACCAAGTGGCAAGTCTGATAATGTAATAACACACGCATTAAAATGTCAGCTGATTCCTTTTTGTTAATTTTTTGCTGGAATTTTCTCACGCGAAAAGTGCATACATTTCAATAAATCTTTCTGTCGTGGAATTAATAAAGTTTTTTAAATAAAAGAACTTCACGTCAGCTGATTCGAGTGTAATTTTGACCAGAAAAAGAATAAGGGCGTTCCAAGTTGAAAGTGTTTCCGAGTTACCAGATAACGAATTAATGCATTAACGAGGATAGTCTGAATACCCCTATTAATAATACGGTGAAAGTTTCAATAGGCTAAGAATTCGCGTTCCATTCAAACAAATTTTTGAACATAGTAACTTTGTATGGACGAAAATACGTGACGCGGTCAGCAAAAAAAAACTTCAGAAATCGACGCTATTTTGTACGCTTTAAACTAAAATTTTGTTGTGCAATTTTTTCATTTTTTCTAATTTTTGTATATAGTGAGAAAGTACTGTAAAAAATGCTTTTATTTTTAAATGCAGATACTGCAAACGTATTTTTTTCACACTAATATACAGTTTTTTGTCGGAAAAAAGATACAAGCGTTAGCAATACCGTTTACTTTTCATTTACTAACTGCGTAATTAGGTGGAACCACTTTTTTTTTAGCTGAATAACGGTAAATTACAAAAATTTCGAAAACCAAGCAAGCAATTCTACAAAGGAATTGGATAGTAGCGTCCGGTGCACAAAACAAAAATTTAAATTTGTGATCCAGTGGAATCATTGATTTATATATTTTCACCCCTTTGGGGAAATTCCTGGCATTTTTATTTCAAATATATGTATTTCATGCCGAATTTGTCTTTTTTCTTGAATTTTGTACATATCGCCAACCATATCTCACAATTTCGTATGTATCATCAAAAACAAATTCATTCGGTAAGAAATTTGCTACGTGTATCTAACTTTGCCGCAGATATTGTAAAATATTTCAAGGTTTTTAGAGATTTCGTCTGAAATTTACCAAGTGAAATCAAACG